ACTCTTAAAATAAGAATGAGATAATATGCACTTGAAATAAGACAATCCAAATAGTGTTCTCTTATTTTAAATGTAAATTGTTTTGTTCCGTTGGAAGAATTTCTCTTTGCCTCCTCAATCCAAGAACAAATGCTTTCATTTTAAGAAAATGTCTAGATTTAGATTTTTTCCAGTGTATATAAACTGAAATTGTGATGTACGGGAATCGGACCCAAGATACAACCAAGACAGGTCAGTGACTTTAAAGGCTTTATTTGAGAAATGATCGGGGGAAGCATAACGGGAGCCCCTGATTCAGGAGATCCAGAGCATGAAGAGCCGGTTTGAGGCAGTTACCTGAGTAATGAACTGAAGTCCGGTTGCAGACATGGTTTGCTGGGGGAATGGGCCCGTAGGCAGCTGGCAGGTTGACAGAAGTTTCCAGTGGGGCTTTCCAGAGACGTGAGGCTCAGTGTGGCAGATCCAGCAGCCATACAGACAGGGAGACCCAGGAGGGGAGGTCCAGGTCCGTAAACAGAGTCCAGAATCCAGAGACAGATCCAATCAGGGTTCCAGGCAGGCAGGCAGAGGCAGAACAGGGACAGGCAGGCGCGGTAACAGAAAGCAGATCAGGTCGGGCAACAGACAGGTTTGCAAAAAGGTCACCGGTAGGTTCAAGACGATCTGGCACAGGTAGCTGATCTGAATGGGGCTTAAAAGCAGGTGGGAACAGGTGAAACCAGTTAAGGGCTGATTGCAGGTGAGGTGAAGCTGAGCAGGTGTGCAGAGTGGACAAATAGGCCAGCCCCAGCGCCACAATATTACAGAAATGAATTGAAAACTGAAGTGTGTCTTCATGTGAGGACGTCATGGATGCCAGAAAACCTGATGTGTTCAACAGTTTCACTTTAAGCATCTTTGCAAACACATCTGAACTGAGATCAAAGGAACATTAAACCCAGAGGAGCAGGAATAAAGAAAAAGGTGAACATTTTTTTAGACCTCTGCTCCCTTAGACCAATCAATCATCATGCACAGCGGCCGCCATCTTTCTTTTATGACTTCAGCTTCTCATGTCAGTCTTTCAAACGCTTCTACTTCCTGTTTCACTCTCGTTTTTGGTTGTTTTTGCTAATGATTGGGCGTGGTAAGGTGTCATGTGATGAACCTGTTTAGAAAGAAGTTCAAACTGTATTTAGATGGCAACTTTCAGGTTGAAATTCACAGAATGCTTCAGCAAACAAAATCAAAAGCAGCTTTAATAAGATGATATGTTTGGTTGTGCTTCAAGGTTGGATATTGGAGCGGGAGGAAAGTCCTCATCAGGATCAGGGTGGATGGTTCTTAGGACCTTAGGTTCTCTCAGGATGGAAGGAATTTCACTAAATATTTTGCTCCACTTTGCAGTTTTTTTCTGCAGAATTCAGCTTCAGCTGTTATTTGTCAGATTCTGGCTTGCAGCGTGCCCACCTGTCACACTTAAAAGAGGAAAATGTTCAGACAGGAAGTGTGGTTGGTGTTTCGTACCGTGAACTCCGGAAGTTTTACTCCTCCCACCGAGTCGAGCTTACATGCTAGGCTGCAGTGCACGGCGTGTTGCAGCGCTGTGTGGGTGTGTTTAGAGCAGAGATCCGTATCACAGCATGATGAAAACATGATGCTTTAGAAAAAGTTTTACTTTTATTTATGCTTCATTAAGGAATAGATCAGGTAATAGTAAAAAACAAAAAAAAACTTTTGATTATGGGTAATTTAAGCTGCATTAAACTTGAAAAACAATCTAGAAATACATAAAAAAAGTGTATTTAACCTTACTTTGAGTAGATAAATGCGATAGTTTGCCAATATAATGAGTATTTTTACTCTTAAAAAAAAGATAATTAGATAATATGCGCTTGAAATAAAACAATGCAATTGTGTTTTCTTGTTTTAAGTGTAAATCGTCTTGTTCCATTAGCAAGATATCTCTTTTACCTCCTCAATCTAAGAACAAATGCAGTTATTAGAAGAAAAAATGACTTATCTAGATTTGGATTTTTTCCAGTCTACTCCCCTGTGACTGTGTCCTTTTAATAGATGACCTTTTTAATGACCTAAGTGTAGATAAAGCAGGAATATTCCAGCTTTTTTAAAGTTATTTCTGCTCTACCAGACCCACATTAAGCTGCGCTTCTCTGTCCTAAACTGATGAAATCACCTCAGACTTCAGAGATGATGGAGAGTATAATGGAGAGCGTTTCAGATCCGATCCCGGTTCCTATAATCTGATGGGATTATAAGCTGCTAAAGGCACAGCTGCCAAGTTGGCCAGCTGGGCTCCACCAGCGTTATGGATAGAGTAGAAATGAAACGTTGCCCCTCATTACTCCTGGACAGCGTCCATCTTTGTTCTGACCCAGTTCTGGAGTGAATTCTGTTGACTGGTGCTGGTTTGTGACTCACAGCCATGCAGTCTGTGTTTAGGGTTACAGTCCTATTAATAGGCAGCTCCGTGCCGCCAGCACTCACTCATATAGATCAGAGCAAACGGGTTGGGTTAGCTCCTCGGCCGGACCGTCCCGGGGAGTGCAGCCTGCTGCAGGGCAGGAACTGCTTGACAGGTGTTGCTGTTTATAAGATTCAGCTGCCTTAGCTGGTCGGGGTGTGAATAACGAAGAAAGAAGCGTTTCCTGTCGGCGGCTCAGAACGTTGGCTTTGGGGTTTTCTGCCCTCCTCCTCAAAGCTGACAGAATTAGTGTTTTTGCAGACAGATTCTGCGTTTTTTTTTTTTTTTGTGTCATAGATGATGAAATGTGTCTGTCTTCCTCTCACAGGTTGTTTGATACGTGGAGGACGGAAAAAAAATCAAAAAGCACACTTCCTCTCAGCATCCTCCCCCTCCCTGCCAGCCTGTGGAGGAGAAAGGCGCCGCGGCAGAGAGAAAGAGCCGCCTGGATCCTGGAGGTTCTCTGGACATCGGTGGCTCACCTGCGAACATGTCGCCGTTCCTGCGGATCGGCTTCTCCAGCTTTGAGATCGATCCTGGTTTGGCCTACTATGAGGAGGTGCTGAACCCGTACTGCGCCGTGTACATGAAGGAGGCCATAGACACAGGTCAGCCAACCGGGTCGCATCAGAGGCTCTGCTCTTTGATTCCAGCTGCTGGGGGTTAAAACAACAAATCAATCATGTTAACCTGAAGCTCTGGGACTTCCTGTTGTTTTTACAATTTAAGCCTACTTCGTGTTGTCAGGCAGGAATCCGGTTTGAGTGAAATCAGACGATGGATGTTTGATGTTGTTGAGTTTTTAGGTGAGAAGAAAGTTCTGATCCAGTTGCCTCTTTAATACCAAGATCAGAAGCAGCTCTAATCTGGTTCTGCTTCATCCTGTATGAATGAATGAATGAATAAGATCAAATGCAGAAGTTGGGTCTAATTATTAGAGGGAGAATCATGAAATGACGGAACTGTCGTCTGTTCTGGTGTCCAACTAATCTGATTTAAGGCCAGTTTATACTTCTGAAGCATAGCCTCCATCAAATATCTCTGTGCCTCCCGCGCAGAAGCTCTGCAACCGTCGTGCACCTCAACAAAAATCCTGACTACGCGTCTGATGGTCGCAAACCGGCGCAGGCCTTAAGCGGAGGTGAGCTGGATTGGTCCTTGGAATGCCTTTCCGGCTGTCTGTGTGGCCGTCTTTCTCAATTCTGTGCCGGGTCGAAACTCCCCAGGTCTGATTCAAGGGGTGTACACACCACCTACGTGTCCTCCTTTGTCTTTATGCCAGCCTTATTAACAGAACCTGTTCCTCTTCGATGTCTAGCAACTCAGGCCAGTCTAAGATCTGCATTGAGTGCACAATTTGTTCTCCTGTTCCTCTCAAGTTCTGAACTAGTCCAATTTGGGCTTAGGAATGAGATGTTGTTATTACCAAGCTGCTGAGGGAAATAAACCTCTGAGGTCCAGGAAAGGTTGACCAAATGTCTCTACTGGGTTTGATAAAACCTGTTGATAACTCTCCTGGACCCAGTGGTCCATATTTGGCCATTTTCCTCTTTCTCTGCTGTGACTTTTACACCTTTATTTAGTCTCAGCTTCTCCTATGACTCACACTGATGCTGTCATGATGGCAGTTTTTAGCACACCTTAATGTGCTGACTGCGGCTCTGTTGATGTCAGCTTTAAACGTGTACCAGGAAGAGCTCCTGGTGCGACCATGAGACTGAATTTTCTTGGTTTTGTAAAATCCTTACTCAGGGTTTTACTGCTGCCCCCATCTTAAACCTCTGCTAAGTCAGAGTGAAGGAAAAAGCTAAAAACAGAGAGAGACATTGTCATGATTTAGGAGCTGATGGCTGGCTTGATTGCTAATTTCATCCACCTGTCAAGCTCTGCCCTGCTCCTCATCACTGCTCATCTTATCCACCTGCTCTTACTTCTATTTAAGCTGCCTGTTCCCATCGATGCCAGAATCTCTGGTGTTTCTATTGTGTTCTGATTGCCTGATTCTGATCTGTTTCTGTATTTAGACCTAGACTTTATTGTCATTTTGTACACAGAGTGTATACAAAACAAAATTTCGTTAAGTACAGCTCTCAAGACATTTGCATTTCTAGTGCATAAAATGTAAACATGGTGGTCAAATTTGGACCTTTGAGCGTGCCTGCACCTTTCTGATCTGTTTGTCTGGCCCATCATTGGACTCCTGCTGAATTCTTCAATGGACTGAACCTGGATCTGCCTCTTGACCTCACCCTTTGGATTATCCTGCCTTCCTTCATCAGCTCGGATCTGATTTCCGGTCAGCTCTGCAGCCTTCTAGGCTTTTGCGTCTGGAACTCTGTGGCAGCGTCTGCTGCGTCTTGTCAGCTGGCTCGTTTTCTGGGCACGGACTGAACTGTCAAATCAGACGTTCCTGCCTCAGACGCTGCAGCCACCAGGCAGACCAGTTCCGCTTGTATCAACAAACACTTTAAGTTATTCCACTGTATGTCTTGCCTGAATTCTGGGTCCTCTGTTCTGATTAACAACATGCAGCTTGGAGGGAAGCAGAAAAAGGACTCAGATAAAACCAGAATAAATCCATAACTGATTAAACTGAAGCAAACGCCAGCAGGTCTCCTGATGCTTCAATCATGCTGTGTCTTTAAGTCATCCTAGTTTCATTCTTTGATTTCTCCTTTATTCCAAATAAAGATGGTCTAAATTTAATCCTTCATTTGGAGGAAATGACAGATATTTCACATGAGAAAAGGACCCCAGATAAGGAAGGAAGCAAAGAGTTACGGATGAGTCAAAGTCATGTTTAAACTGACCAGGAGTTTATAAATCAGTTTTTCCTGGAATCATACAGCTGCTGGTTCTTGAGAACCACATCAGAACCTCATTAAGCAGAATGATGCATCTTTGTGTCGTAATCCAACTTGATTTATCACTTCTGCTTGGTGTTGCAGCTGAAGTATCTCCAGCTGTGAAGGAGCTAAATATGGCTGCCATCAGGGGGCAGCAGCATTGAGAGTAACTGAAGAAAAACAAGTGAAGAAGATGTAAACATTTAAGCTGTCTGAGCGTCCACCCTCATCCCTCCTTAGAGGACTATAGGGGTTCCAACATGTCCCTATGGCTATAGGATAAAACATTTCCCACAATGCACCTTAAAAAGTAGTGGTCACCGTAGACATAATATAAGAATAGACCCCGCATCGACCGCTTTCACATATGGGCACTGACGTGATTTGGTGGCGCCATCTTGGGGTGGTCAACAGCTCTGCTCTGTAATGTGTTGAGCAGGCAAAAAAAAATCTATCTTATCTGAAAGCAAACAAATGGTTCAGTGCATATATACATATATATATATTAGTGCCATCAAACTATTAAAAATTTTAATCGCGATTAATCGCATAATATCAACAGTTAACTCAAGATTAATCGCAAATTAGTCGCATATTTTATCTTTTTATTTTATTTATTTTATTTGGACATTTTAAAAAATGCAAATGTGCAATAATGTAAAAAAAACTTGCTTATACAATAAGTTTTTTTAGTTATAATTTTTTTTAAAGCACTTAAAAAACTAGAATAAAAATATCCTGGTTTAAATTCCGGCAAATAATTATTCAAAAATTGTAAAACAGTAAACAGTACTTCAAAGAACTCCATAAAATTAAGTTTTTTCTCAAACATAGGACAAAAATAAAGATGTACTGTTAAAATAAAGTGCACATTCCGTTATGAAATTCAGACTTAATTCAAATAAAATGAAGTTACTCACAAAATATTAAATAAATGGGCTTTGCAGTCATCTCAACAACATAACATTTTACATGTAGAACATTTTCAAAATTCTTTAATAT